CCAACAACTGCGAACAACCAAACCGAAAACCAGCCAACCAACCAGTCGGGCAGCATCCCCAGCATAGCTCAGCTCTTTCATTATGTGATACTCGTTCGCACATCGCATCGCATCGCATTCATTGTTTGTCTGGGCCAAAACAGCAAATGCAATTTTAATTACAACCAAATAACACCAGCAACAATAACAACAGCAGCACCAGTGATATGGCAACATTGGCTATTGGGGCTGGCTCTGAGTCGATGGCCAGACATTTGCCAGACAAACAACAGCAAAAGCAACAACAATAAGTGCGACTGAAAAATGTCGTAAATTAGTCACACATTGCATGCAACGTTTTAAATACACACACACACACACACACATCTGGTAACACGTGAATTGCATTAAGAATTTAGTCAAAAGCATATAAAATTCAAATTCTTGTTTGTTTTTTGGTGCATTTAATTTTTAATTAAAAACAAGTTCGAATGCCGTAGTCGAGAGCGCTCGCCTAGGAGATAACTTCAATCCAGCTTTTAAATAGATAAGACCTGCTAATTTTAGTTTGTTTAATATTAAAATATGTTTTGGTCATCAAACGCTGATTTTCTAAATGAAATTTGTACAGTTTGTATTGATATTCGCCAAACGCTAGCAGTTATCAAAAAAATGTAATGAAGTTGATCTGTATATGATATATGAGAAGTTATAATTCACATTTGAAGCCTCTACTTCTTATAGACGGTCAGAATGACTTGGCTAAATTGAATCGCTCGTTGTTAGATTAAGAATGCTTTATAATTCATTCAACTTCATTAAACCTATATTTAATGGAAATAAATATAAGTAATATATGCAAAATATTTCTACTAACTAGAACTCAATTATATAAACCATTTTGCAAATATTAAATTGCAGTTAAACTTATGCAGAAGCTGTAAAGGGCAGCAAAGTTGAAGAACTGTCTCCAGAACAGTTCTGCTGCACCTGGCCGCCATTTAAGTTAGTAAGTGATTAAGCCAACCGTTTCTAGCCCACCACCTATCTCAGTAGGCAACTCTAGGAGAAACTAAAACTAATGAATGAATTAATTAACGCATCCGATTGGACGCCAAAGGTGAGTTGCCTTTATTAGATAACAACCGTCTGAGCTATACCTTGATATAATATAATTCATACATTTCAGGCGACCCTCGCGAATTGCAAAAATAACATAATACTCCGACTCAGAGTCAGATTCAAGAGTTCGCTGCGGCTGTCATTAAAAATGCGAATTAAAATTCGACTTGTTGTCGTTTTTTTCTTTGTTGTTGCAGCTTGGATTGGGTATCATTGTCGTTGGCATTGTTATTGTTGATGTTGTAGTACTGTTAGTGTTAGTGTTGGTTTTTTGTCTGCTTTTGTTTTTGTTGCTGTTGTTGCTGTTGGTGACACTTGTCGTTTGCTGGTTGCTGCTGCTGTTGTTGGCCTCTGCTGGTGTTTTGTTTTTTGTTTCAGTTGCCTTTTTTCTCTATTTGTGCATTTTCTGCATAAATATTTCAACACTTTCGCTTTTGTTTTGTGTCACACACACATACACACACAAACACACACACACTCAAATTATGTTAATTATTCCGCCTCCCCTTCCCTCTCCCCCTCACTCTCATCACCTGGCTTGCGTTTTCTGCACAGGTTGCTGTGCATTTTAATTGCATTTTGATTTAATTTCAGTGTGTGCTGCATCTAATTTGTTGTCATCGCTGCTGTTGTTGCGCTTTTTATTTTGTAATATTTGTTGTTTAGCTCTTTTTTCAGTTTTACTCTTTTATATTCGCTACTGTTTTGTGCTTTTGTTTTTGACCATTTTTTTTTTGCTTCTTCCCACGCACTTTGCGGCGACTGTCTGCAAATGTTGTTGGCCCATTGTTGTTGCTAATTTGATTGTTATTGTTGTCACTGTCGTCGTGAATTTGTTTACGTAATTGTTAAAAGCAAAACAAAACCACAAAAAAAGAAAATAATAATAATAAAAATAATGATAATTTCGTCATGGCGATAGTCTTCTGTTTGCGAGCTGATTAGCACGATTTGTTTTGGGATTACCGTTAAAGTTATGTATCTATCTATCTTTTATCGGGAGCATTGCACAACACTGGGTTATTGTGTGGGTAGAATAGAGTGTGAAGAGTTCTTTTTGGATTAGAGCTGATTTAATTAATTATATGGAAACTTATATAATACTATAATGCTGTGGATCAGTTTGCGAGTTGACTAGCACTTGCCCGATTTATTTTTGTTTTCCCGGGCGGGTAGAAAACTGGAGGAGCTCTTTTATGGACTTGAAGTGACTTACGGATTGAACTACTTTATTTTGTGGAAAATATAATAGAATAATAACATAGAATAAATTCAGAATCTATGCTGAAACTCAATATCTATTGCAGAGCCTGTTACAAGAAGCGGTTACAAGAAGTACCATAACGGAAATGAATACCGAACAAAATTTGAAACATACTTATAACCTTTAGCGGAACCTTCGTAAGCAAAACCGGAAACTAAAATTAGTTTAGGGTTGACATCATGCCATAGAGACAAATAAAAAGAAGAATATTTCTATGCTATTGTTAAAAAGGTATAAATGCGAGTGTAAGCTCAATTCTTGCTACTCAATATTTATATATTCATATAGAATATAATGAGAGCCGTTCTTTCAAAATGTTGTATATGTTATAGTTTTTCGCACTCTATTGACCCATTTTCGCAAAGGCTTACAAATCTTTCGGATATCTCTGTCTCTATCTGCGGCACAAATTTATTTATTGTTCGAGCCGGGGTCATGTCTAATTTATGGCCACGTCTGGCTGGAAGGTGGGCGGTGTTGTGGTTGTTGTTCCATATTGGCATGGTTCAATCGTCTGATTCATTGTGGACTTAATTGTTAGGTAAGCTTCTTGTCTGTATGTTGTTCGCTTTGGTCGCCGCTCTTTGTCGGGGCTGTGTAAGAGGCTTACGAAATTTCCATATGGCAATTATGGGCTGCCCAATTATAATGGCTGTTGTTTGCCGTTTGAAAAACAATATTGTTAAAGGTGAAGTTGAAACAAATGATTTGGACATTAATACTAACTGCCAAATTGACTCTCTCGGACTGATTGGGATGAAAAGTCTTTAGCAGAGTCTCGACTAACTGTTGTTGTAGTTGTTGTATTTGGTTTCTGTTCATTTCACTGATTGCATAAGACCAAATTAATATGCAAAACGTACACAAAATGTTATTAGTAAGACATCAAAACATCACATCGATGTCATAAATTAATTAAAATTATATCAAAACGAAAGTCGCCCGAGGCTAGAATATTTTCTGGCTGCGAGAGGAGACAGTGTGAGACTCCGTCAATTGGCCGCGAGCGTTTGCCCGCCAAAAAAATCAAGCCAAAGCAAGCCCAGTAACAGTAACAGTAACAAATAATTAGCTTGTAAACTAAAAGTCATCATTAATAATGATTACCGTTGCCATCGCCTTGCTGTTGTGTGTGTGTGTGTGTGTGGGGGTGTCTTAGTCATAACCGTCTTTGGCAGAAACGTCAACATAATTAAGTGAGCGGCTTCTTCTTCTTCTTCTACTGCTTTTTCTTCCTTTTACACTTCTCACTCTACTCGCGCTCTCTCCCACTCTCTTCGAGACTTCTTTCTACAACTGCTTGCAGAGGTTTTTCTCCAGCTGATTCGACTGCTGCGATTTATTTCGCATTAACGCTCAATATTGCTAGCTAATTAACCACAGCCAAGTTCGCCGAAAAACTGACACAACAACAAAGAGCGCTATAATGACGACCGATATGTATATCTATATATATGTATATATATTTGCACATTTGCCATGGCAGCCCAAATGATGAGCATGATGCGTCAATTTTGCGGCTGCTAATTAGTGGCAAGCAAAAACTTCTTTAGCCGATCCGCTTAACGTTTACAGTTACTGCCAAAAGTCTGCTCCAAATAAGTATGTATATATACATATACATGTTTGTATTTATATGCCTAACTACAGCTTGGCGTGACAAGATGCCGTTAGACGCATCAATTTTTTGTGCACCGTCATCTATTCCTACTTACAAACGGCAATCCTCAAACAAACCGAAACCGAAACCAAAATGATTCTAAATTCCAGCAATTTAAACGGAAATTCCGCAATGGCAATTGAGCCATCAGTTTGTGCCAATTAAAGGTCATTTGGCACGCTGAATGTTTGCAGATGGCTTACAACTCATTACACTATTGAGAGTCGAGAATCGAGAATCGAGAATCGGAGCTTTTTCCATTTTTTACTTTTTATACTTTTTCGTAATGAGCCACAGCGACTATATTTCATTTTGTGTCGTCCTGCGGCGTAATTTGCATGTGCAAACATATTTATTTACAATCATATTGCCATCGTCGGTCTGTCAAACAAACAGAGGCATGCATAAATAATCGAACAAACTATGGCAAGCCGTAAATATTGCAGCTCGGCGGTGGGTTCTTGCTGTTCTGCTGTTATTGCCTGCCTTGCCTGTCTGTCTGCCTTTCAACTTGGCCAAAAGATGCACAGCATACGCTGCTCTGGCTTTGACTCTGGCTCTGCTCGCTGAGTTCACACAAATTCCATGCAGCCAACAACAACAATAAAGCGCAATAATATGGCCAACAGCAGCAATGTGGCAACAACAACAACAATAAGCAAGGAGCGCAATTTCACTGACTACTGAGAATTTTACGTACTGTGACGTTCTGCTGAAGGGTAGCGCGGGGGGAGTGGCAGGCAGCTCGAGGGTAAACTTCAAATAAGTAAATACACTGCACGAAACGAACAAAATGTGAATGGAAATGAGACGTCAACTTTAAATGCAACTGCAACGCATGTTGCACTCGCTAATGGTGCATAGGCGTATACGCAATCTGCACGCTTATTAAAACATGAAGACCCACTTAAAGCTGGCTAAAAGCACCGTCTTAAGAAATCAATTTGAACTTGCAGCAAGAGGCAAGGAGCTTACCTCAGAGTTTACAGTTCAACATTAAATGGCATTGTTTTGGGTTGCTCACCTGCAGGGAAATAAGCAAATAGTTCGTTAGAGTAATGCAATCATTTATATGCTCTTATACAAATTAAATTATAAGTATACAAAATATATAAAATGTAATAAAATATAAAACTATGCAGCACAAATTAAATTTAGACACGCGATTCTAGCTCGAAATCAAATCAAAAAATCAATTCAAAATCAAAGCCTAAAGATCTAAGCAGCTCAGTGTAATAACTGTCAAAACTGACTCGATTTTCAAAAGCAAAAGTTCTTTAGTCATGAGCACTCTAAATATAATAATAATGTAAAATCGTAGAACAATAACCGGATACCGATATGGTTTAGCCTTACAGTAGCATATTTCAGAAATTATATATCTTTTCTAGCCTATAGTCTGTGATATTCAATTGTCTCTTAACTCAGTTCCACTTTTCGCACAGTGTATTTCTCTCTACTTGTGTCCACCGCTGTTATTATTTTTGTTGCTGTTGTTCTTGTCGCTGCTCCTGTTGCTTTCAGTTATATTACCCTGGACCCCAAACACCAACGCCATCATATACCAGTTCCCCTCCTGCCAGTTACTTATACTCTTCCTCGCTCCCTCCCTCACTCCCCCATCCCCCTTCCCACTTCCTTGCACCATTTTCATTCATGCTGTGCACTCATTTACCCTTTAACCAAACGCTCAACATGAACTGAACACCTACCGAAACTCACTCCCCTCCATTAGCCCAGCCCAGTCACGTTTGCATATCATTTGCGCGCATCTTTGGGAAGTCGACTCCTCTCTCTCTCTCTCTCTATCTCTCTCTGTCTCTCTCTATCTGTCTCTGTCTCTCTCGCACCCTTAAGTGCATTACAATGAAGTACGTAGGAGCTGCTGCTGCTGCTACTCTTTGGCCGCCCCGCCGTGACTCGTAAATAAGTTTTATTGTGTTTCGTTGCAAACGCCCACGTTGCTGCCCCTCCCAGTGGGACTCTGTCTCCAACTCTGACGTCCTGGTTGTTCTGTTGCCGCACTGTTGCAAGTTATCGCTTCCTTTGTTTTGGTAATTTAGCAAGAGCGCCAACGATGTCGTCTAAATTGCTGGCATACATTTGCTCTGTGCTGCCCACTGTGGCAACGTTTTTATTGTTGTTGTTGCAGTTGCAGTTGCAGTTGCTGTTTGTTGCAGTTGCAGTTGCTCTTGTTGTTATTGTTGTTGCTGTTGCTGTTGCTGGTGTTGCCAGGCAAATGACTACAAAGTGGGCTCAGTCCAAGACTTGCCAACTCGAGCTCTACACAGCTCTTCGGAGCGCTTTTCGGCTGTTGCCGCCTGAATTATGGCGATTCTAGTATGAAGACTACACTCATATAAAAAAATGTTCCTAAAATTAAAAACCTACCGAAAACTAGAAAGCTTTCTTGTTATTAGAAATAATTTCAAATCAAAAAAATATTTTTCAACAATTCAGTAAGGCTTGCCCCAATAGACAAAAATGTAATGATTCCAAGATGTAGAATTCTAAAATGAATTTAAGAAATGCAAATCCTGGTTTCTAGAAAGCCCCAAGCTTTAATTTAGAAAGTTATTTTCTGAATAATAATGTGTGGAAAATTGATGCCAAAAATTTTTTTTTTTAGTGCAGTTACTCTCCACCCACTCCATCCACTCCTTGCTGCTGCTATTGTTGTTGCATATTTAAGCGAGAAGTGGAGCAATTGTTGCGCGTTTTATTGTTTTGGGAATAAGCGCGGATTTATAGAAATTTTTAGCTCAACACAGCACAGCACTGCTAAACTTGTTGTCGAGGGGCGGGGGCGGGGGCGGGTTCTTATTTGGGCATTGTGGGGGAGATGGGGGTCAGTTGAATCGTCGAAACAGAGCAACAATATTTCAAGCGCATATATCTGTATATATATACAGTTAAAGGCCATCGGCACAATCTTGGCTGATAATGAAGCCAAGATTCAGCCATGACATGAACTCAATTAGCCCTCCCCTCCCCCTTGAGTGTGGGCATATGGGGGTATGGCAATACACACACACACACACAGTCGGAAAGATACTTTGTTAAGAGTCCACAAATTAGAGAGACGCGTCCGCCGACGAAGCCCGCATTGCATGTAAATGTGCAGTTTGTACTTGGACTAGAACTGCTTGGTCTTCTTGGTCTGCTTGTTGTTGGCCAGCATCTAAAATTAATATGCAGACAACTGAGTCGGCAATTGTGTGGGGGAGGAGCAAGAGGAAGAACTGGCTGGCAGGCAGGCTGGCAGGCAGGCGGTGCAATAATCACAATGAAAATGCACAGAATGCGCCTTATAACGATAACAAATTGCCCATTTGGCATAGAAGATGATGAGACAGTTAAAGGCGGGGCAGTGCTGGGCGGGGGAAAGGGGGGGGGGGGGGGGGGTCGACATGGAAGACATTAATTGGCTGCCATGTCATTTTGTTTATGCAGCGCACTCAACTCGCTGTCAACGCCACAATCGCCACAAACACACACACAGACAACAACCGACAACTGGGCGGGGCAAATTAGAAAATAGAGCAACCCAAGTCGATGTCATCGTTAGCACTGCCAATAAAATACTGAAGAAAAAACAAACCAGAGAGTACATTATGTGGGAGTAAATGTTAGTCAAATGCAGTCGAATTCAAATTGAATATTTGAACACAATTAGTCTGCACTAAATGTGCCATCAACGGAAAGTAAAACAACGCATTAGAATGTTGTAGGCGAGAGTGTTCGACTGGAAAATGAAGAGAACTCAGCTGTTAAATAGATAGTACGCCTATTGATAGTATTTAGTTAGAGTGCTCTAGTCTAGAGTGCTCAAGCTGTTAAATAGATAGTACGCCTATTCATGGTAGTTTGTTCAATATAAAATAACGCGTTGTTTAACAAAATTCGTGTTTTTTTTGAGATCACGAATCAAAAAATGTAAAAGCTGAAATGAAAACAACTTAGAAGGCGCTATCTAGATTATATATCAATTTGGAGGTTATATATATTACAAATTATATATATACAAATAGAACAAATGTGCCTGAAGTCTATAGCTTTTCTAGTCTTTGAAATTGGCTTGGAAATATACTGACTTGACTTAATCACCTTGACTGGGGTCCAGACATACTTTCTTCTGTCTGCTACTTATTTTTTCACAGCTTTATTATTTCCTTTGATGCCATTTTGAATGGAAGCCAAAAGCAGCTTTAGTTATCTCTTCATCAAAACAGATAGACAGTTGAGAACTGCCAGTTGAATTGAATTTCACAACTTTAATTGTTATTGCTAACACAATTGAGCTCAAGTGTAAATTCAAACTGGTTTTATTTCTCAAAATCCTAGTCTTCATTGCTAACACTTTTCACTTTTTATTTGTCTGGTGCACAGACATTGCAGGGGATTCACCTAAGCCAAGCAAGAGATGTTTTACAATTTATGTATTTTTATTTATATTTATTCTTGCGATGTATTTGAGTGATTGCTGCTGTGGTTTCAGTACCTTTTAGCTGGAGACCCTATTTTTCATTACTTAGCATGTGCTAATAGATTGCGGTTTTCTTAAAATATTTTTCATAGAAACCAACTTTAACACTAATTCATTTAACACACTAGAATTAATGGCAATTTGCTGCAAAGCGATATGTTCTCATTTCGCTTAATCGACAGTTAGCAACAAAGTTGCATACTCAAACAGTTACCTTCACACACAGAGACACAAGCACATATTACGCATACGCCCCATATGCGGCAGCACCCCCTGTGGCTGTGGCAAAGAGTCAGACACATTTGCGTATGTCAGATCCAGTAAGGTAGCTGATGGCTGCCGGCTAGAGAGGCATATCATTAATGCAACAGGAACAGCAGCAGCAGTCGCTGCTGAAAGTGTTGCAGTTGTTGCTAGTTGCCTAGTTGCTGTCGGGACATTTGAAATTTAACGGCTCGCATGTGCCACTTATATTTGCAAGAAGTTCGCTTGGCTGATTCGACTCCGACTTCGGCAAAACTAAGCAGCTATCATGTTCAAGTGCTTAGCCCCAAAATAGAAAAAGAAAAAGAACTCAGCAGTGGCAACGAGAAACCATAGCATGGCAATGTGTGTAGGGCTTCAACTGTGTGTGTGCAACTGTGCAACAACTGTGTGTGCAACAACAACAAGAACATCAACAGCCTTTGCCATTTCCACTTGAGCTAACCGGGGGGTGTCACATTCGTCGTCACTCCGTCACTCACACTCAGCAGTCAACAGTCAGCAGTCAGCAGTCGGCAGTCGGCAACCGGCAGTTGGCAGTTGGCAGTCAACAGTCAAACTCTATTCCGATGTTGGCTGTTGCAATTCTTGTGGTATTTGTGGCATGAAATTTGCAAATAAAACGAAATGAGCTGCAAGACGAAGGCAGCCAAGCAACACTGACACAGACACCATTCCTATTCTGTTGCTTGTTCTTCTCATATTGAATTCCAAGCTAAAAGCACCTTGAGGTGTTCATTTTCATGCCACAAGAAAATGCGCGTAATTATGTCGCTGCCACCACGACTAGGAACAACAGCAACAACAAAAACAATCACAAAACGCTAATGCAAATGTCGCTTTATTTTTATTTTGGAGGCCATCCACAAGAGATGTCTTCGGATGTCTTCTGTGCAACTAGAGACACAAATGTGTCTCAAATTTTGCACATAAAGAACAAAATCGAAAAACGCAACTTACCCAAAGGGAGAGATAAAGAGAGATCGTATAGTAATATAAAGTGTTGCAAGTGAAATTATTGCTGCTGCAGCTATTATTTAGGGCTAGCGAATATATGAATGAATATTTTATTGAATACAGACTCACACTCATACTCACATTGATATTGTGCTGAGTGATAGTCAGCATGGGCAGGCTGGACAGGCTGTGGCGGGTTAACCGAGAAGACCGCAACTGACAGGAAACCATTAAAACTGACCTCAAACGGCAGCAGCGACAGGACCCCCATACACACATAGCACAAA